GTGTGTGTGTGTGTGTGTGTGTGTGTGTGTAATAAATTTTATATATATATATATCTATATAGATGTTTCATCACTGCTTATCCCCTGATAATTGTAATCTTTAAACTCTTTAAAATATGACTGTTGAAATCAGGTCAAAGGGCACATCCTTCCCAGGTGGTTGTGGGTAATACAGACGCTCCTCTACTTACCAATGAGTTATATTCTGATCGGCCGTTCGTAACTTGAAATGTTCGTAAGTTGTCATTCAGCATCTTTTTAAGGGTATATGCAAGTACAAAGCACTAGGAAGCTGGGAGTACAAACGCTACAATGCTGCGGGAGTAGCGGCCAGAAGTCATACTAGGCAGAATTGGCGCACAGAAAAAAAAAATTGATGTTGCGGACGGGAAACGGGAACCAAAGGGACACAATTTGGACTTGCAGTCCTCTTTGTTTGTGTGTCTGAAGGTTCGTAAGTTGAGGAGCTTCTGTATTCACCATGAGAGTCTAGCCTGATGTTAAGGAAGCCAGTCTTAAAGTGGTAGGGTGTCTTCTGTAATCAAGCTGTGCCTCTCTGCCACCCCCCAGGGGACGCGGGCAGACACCCCCGCCTCAGGATGCGCGCCGACAGTTCCATCGGCAAATCAAACGTGTGCATTTTGGCCACGGGTTCAGTCGGCATTCGTCACCAGGAAGATCCTGTTCTTGGGACTTTTTTAATCACCAGAACAGTGGCATCGTTTTTTTTTTTTGTCTACATTTAATGATAATTAAAGTGACTGACAAATTTTAAAGTAACGTTGGTAATGGTCTTTTTTTTTTATTTATTTATTTTTTGAAAATGTGATTTGTGGTTCATTTTTGGCTGTTCTCTTTATCTTAAGTCTGTCTCCATGACGATGCTCTCTTTTTTTGCTTTATTATGTCATCATTAATAATGGCACATGACACAATAGCAGAAGGTATATTTTGGTACCCAGTGGTCACTGGAGTTGCGAGGCATATGCAGTCATAGGAGGTGGTCAGGGCCACCCCTCCTGCATGCATCGCTCTGGCGGCCGGATGCATGCAATGCGAGCAAGTCATCCTGCAGTGAATTAGAGTGGGTTCTGAATAATGCGGCATTGTTAGGGTGTTGGGGTTGAGAAGGACGCGTCTTCATGGGTTGTGGCATGGGCCGCTGCAATGGAAGCTGCATCATGTGGCATCGGGGGGGGGGGGGGGGCTGCCTGCATCTGTCCCGCTGTGATGGATTGGAACTGCTGCTCGTGCGAGTGAGTGCGCCATGTTTGGGTCGCAAGCTCCTCGGGATGTGAGGATATTTCCCAGTTAACCACCCCGCTTTGGTCTTTCGGTCAGACCTGCACAAGAAATGGAAGATGACACTAGTACTAGTATGAGAACAGATACTTTGGAACGTGTTAGTTTTCACATATCCCATCATGCTCTCCTTTTTAAAGAAACGCACGCAGAAGTGAGTGAAACTTGGGGTCTGAGCAAGAACCCCGATTTCTTGCGATTTCTGTATGTGGAGGCCTGGGTGGGGGGATGCATGTATAGGTCAGGCGGGGGCCAGACAAATGGGCCTGCATTCGCTTTTCGTTTTGGGAGCGGGCGGTAAATGCCAGGTGCACAAAGGTTTGCGTGTGTTGCAGTGAGCAGGAGGTTCAAGGACGGGACGGAGGGTGGGTGTGTGGGGGGGGGGCGGTGGAGGAAATGCCCCTGGAGATGCAGTGCAGACTGTGACACGATGCAGGAAGCGGTTACCGCAGAAAGAGCAGGGAGCAACGTCTGGGGCTGCAGCGCACAGGGCTGCAAAAATGCGGCGTGTTCAGTGCGTGAGAGAAACTGGCACGGCCTGCTGCGCGGGTGCCCTCGTCGAGGTGGAAGGGCGTCTGTGGCGCGTAGTGTGACGATTCCCCAGCTTCACCCGGTGCAGGAAGGCAGGTGGCAGGACATCGTGTGGATCCGCCCTAGTGGGGAATCCCATTGCATTTGACTCATATCCCTGTTTTTTTGCTCTTAAATTGCTTGTGTTTTGGTTGAGGTGGGTGTCTTGCCCAGATGAATGACATGGGGGTCCTCTAGTGAGAGTGGGTTTTAAAAAAAAAAAAAAAAAAAAAAAAAACATAAGGGGACACGCCGGCATGCCATTTGTCGCATGTGTGGGAGCCCCTGTTTAAATGGCACCTCTGTGCAGGACGGGGGGGGGGCATGCCTGTCCCCTGGACAGGGCTCCTTTGTCCTCATCAGAGGAGCTTTATGCGAGGGGACAAACAGGCAGTGGTGTCTTGGCCTGGTCCTCCTGCTGTGTGGCCGTGCCTGGCTCCTCCCCCTCCTGCTGTGTGGCCGTGCCTGGCTCCTCCCCCTCCTGCTGTGTGGCCGTGCCTGGCTCCTCCCCCTCCTGGCACCTGTTGGCACCTCCAGCATCCCCCTCCCTGCAGGCATGATGGGTGTAGACAGTCTCTCTACAGCCCTCTTCTCCACTGGGCTATCTCTCGGAAGACACCCACCACTTGATTTCCGGGGCTCTCTTATTGGGTCATCGACAGGGTGGATTTCTCCCTAAGCTCTGGCCAGTGGAGTCCCCCCCCCTGTAGGTGTATGTTTGGGTACCGAGGTGTCGTCAGCTTCCAGGCTGTGGTCCTGAAGTCATGTGACTCCTGTCACGTACTTACTCATGTACCCTAAGAGTAAATCTGCAACAGAAGTTCAGGGATCCCTGCTGTTCTGTAGACCCAACTACATCGATCTCTCTCCTCTCCGCAGTCGACATCCGGGAGATCAAGGAGATCCGGTCCGGCCATAAGTCCCGAGACTTCGAGCGCTATGTGGACGACTCGGCGACCCGGCCCGATCAGGCCCACTGTTTCGTCATCCTGTATGGCACAGAGTTCCGTCTTAAAGCGGTCAGCCTCGCCGGTAGGTCCCCCGTATCTCCCAGACTGTCCGTCCCGCAAACTCGCCGCTGCCGGCCCTTTAAGACGCGGCCTTCACTGTCTCGCAGCTACGTCGGATGAGGAGATGTCCATGTGGGTGAAAGGCCTGATGTGGCTGGTGGCCGACACGCTGAGTTCTCCCACGCCGCTGCAGATCGAACGGTAAGCAGCATCTGTCTAAATCAGAATCTGAATCCTTTTAAAAGCAGGTTGTGGCACGAAGCGTACAATTAAATGAAATTACAGAAAGCAATAAAGAGAATAAGAGTAAAATACAGAGAAAGAAATAATGATATGCAAATAATAAACAAATGTGTTTACTTATAAAGGCGAAACTCTGGGATGTTTGGGTACAAACGGCTTTCCCAGGCTCGCCTGTGTTCAAGAAATGTCCTGAGGCTTCCCTGATATCAGGTGTTCTGAGGAGATGTTTTGGCGTCCAAGCAGTGCTGGTCTCTGTATTTGCTTGGATCCGTCTTCTCTTCCTCCTCCACTGAAAAGGTATAGGGAGCAAATTTGTAAAGTGGTACAGAATTCCACCCATTACTCAGGCGAGCATAATCATACTCATTGCCTGATGGTGGCGCTATAGCGCAGTGTTTAACGTTTTGGTCTATATCTTAGAGTCATAGAAACAGAATTATCTTCCAGACATTCCTTGCATAATGCCAAAAAATATTGCAGCTCGGTCTATGAAGCTCTGCTTACTTGTTTGGTAATTTGCATAATGTGAAAATTCTACTTTTTCGAACTTATCCTAGACTGTTCATTTGATTCACACGATTTGAACTGCAACATCTTGGCAAAAAGTTAGCCGTAGGATTTGGATCAGGTCGTTGTTCTGAAGCTACAGATTAATATCTTGGGCGTGGCCTGTTTGCACTTAATGTGCTATTTCTCTTCAACAGAACATCCCATTCTCACCAAACTTGCCATGTCCAGTTGGTATGACATTCCTAGGTTACTCTCCAGATTTCATAAACGCCCTATAGGGGGCATTGTGACTCAAAGTAGCTCTTAACTCAGAAACCGTTGGATATGAGAAGCTGACGTTTTCTATGCCTGTTCGTGGCCTCGTGTCCCAGCAAATCGTATAACAAAAGTTCATCGGCTCATCAAGCATGGCTGGCAACTACCAGTCAATCAAATTTCAGCAGGCTGTAATTACCCTTGTGTATCACTGAGAATCGTGAAATGTGGTGTAACAGCGCAAAATTCCTTCCTCTAAAGAGGAGGTTGGGCTTATACTGCTACAGTAATGTAGATGATATAAAACCATACATGCACAAAATGCTTCCATAATGCACATTCATTGTGCTTATGCAAGACATTGTACAATGCAATGCAAGACATTGTAATGGAATATTTGATGTGGCAAAAGCATCTATTCAGGTCTTAGTGCTTGGACCCTGTTAAGCGCTGAGAGCAATATTTTGAGTTGCCACATGCGGTAATATTTCTAGGTAGTGAGTTAAAAAAAAAAAAAAAAAACTTTTCCTGATGTTTGAATCTCTCACCTACTTAGGTGGCTGAGGAAGCAGTTTCACGCAGTCGATCGGAACAGAGAGGATAAGTAAGTGTGAAACCGATACATGGGTCATTGTGTATCACTCGCGGATTCTGGGCAGTGGGGGGTAGGGGGAGGGTCATGGCGGTGCGGATGTGAGCAGAGTCACTTGTCTGCCGTCGCGGCGAGCCTTGAACTGGGTGCCCCCCATCTCAGACCTCTGGAGGAAGTGCGGCATGAGAACTGTCAGATCGGACGACGGGCAGGAGTTTCTGCTCTGATGTGTGGCATCACTCTGGACCAGCGCCTTCTAGGGAACACGGAAGAGGACCTGTAGGTCGAGTTCTCAGTGGCGATGGGTTCCCAGCATACTTGCGTGCCCAGCCTACCTGACGGTAAACAATGTGTGTTTCCTTTCGAGGGCAGTTTGGACCCGTGCCCTTGCCAGTGTGCCCACTGCCTCTCCACATTCTGCAGGCTTGATTCAGGGACACTCGGCAGAAAAGTGATTTGCAGATGTTTCAGACACCTCCCCCCCCCCCATCCATGTCACATTGACCCCCTCCATGTCCAGTTCTTATTGACCAATCCGATCTGACTCCGTGTTCATAATGAACTGGAAGAGATGAGTTTTTGGCCCAGCTTGGGGGGCTCATCCAGTCTGTGTGGTCTGTTTGGGTGTCTGCCACGCATGCCTGTAGATAGTACTCTACAAGCCTTGACACCCCCCGCCCCCCCATACCCACAGTCTGTTTAGGTCAACAATGTCTCACTGCGTAGTCGGCCCCCTGCATCGTGGAAAGTGGCATCAGGCTAAATTTACCTCCCTACATGTTGCGAGCCAGGAAAAGACCGTCAGAGGAAGCTGGGGCTGTTTGGTGGGTGGGGGGGGCACACGTGGGTGGGGGTGTAAGGAGAGTGGGAGGAAATGGTGTGCGATGGGGGGGTGTATGGAAGCCCTACACCTGTTCTGTGCCCCCCCCCCCCCCGCCCCGGGGGTCAGTCTTTTGGAGCTTCCTTCTGTTTCCAGCACCCTTGGGACCCGTGCAGGTATTAATGAGCGCCGGGAGCGAGTCTAGATCCAGGAAATGGAGCACAGCTGGAGAGGAGTGTGTGCGTGTGCGTGCGTGCGTGTGCGCAAATTCATAGCAGAGTTGTTAAATTCACATGATGTAGTACATGATCAGCCCGTAGGGGTTTGTTTTGTGAGATTTTCTATATTTGTGTAAAATTAGAATTCCTAAGGAAATGTTTGTGTGTTTTTTTTTTTTATCTCAAAGTTTGTTACTCCTTTTAAAGTTAAATGAATGTAAATGAAACGGCCATGAAGCCCGTGTGCACCAAAGGGCTCTTACTGGCTCTCAAGGACGTTTGCAGTCAGTTCTGCACTTTAAGTAGAACTTTGATCAGAACCTTTCAGTACTATCCAGCCCCATGGAAGCACCATGCTAGATCCAATAATAATGCATGCTTTTGTTTTAATGCTTATTTTTAGGATTTCCTGCAAGGATCTGAAGAGCATGCTGGGTCAGGTTAACTACCGGGTCCCCAACATGAGGTTCCTGCGAGAGAAGTTTCCGGTAACGTCCCACCCCGAAGATGCTTATATAGTTGGTTATTTGTATCTGTATCTGCTTAAGTGAATTATTAGAATATTTCTTGTTAAAATTTCCCATTATAATTTGAGCTTTGTTTTGTGGTACTGAAAGAGAGAGTGTTTCTCTGGTTAGCTGAATGGTTTGCGACTGCTGTAAGGCTGATGTATCTCAGGAGCAATATAGTTTTGTTTTCTGAATTTGTAACTTAAGGAGGGGAACATCGGGAGCCTCGCGCTGGTTTTACCGTGATTGGTGGGTTATGTACCAATTTAACGTGCGATACGGTCTCCCGTCGTTCATTTTGTAGAAGCGCTTAATTGTATTAGATTGCTTAGCATAAGGAATACCATTCTAGCATGAGGATTTCCTGCTACTGGTTTGTATCGTCCAGGAGACGTACCTAAACTTGGGAGCGTGGGTTGAGGAAATAGATTCAGTGGGTTCACTGCTTGTCAGGCTTTACTAATCTGGGGGTGGGGGGGCTGCATGAGAGGGGAATGCTTGTTGTCTTGGACTTTCTTCCTAAAAAAATTAGCGGTAACGCTTACTTAAGGCCATGTTTCTAGTAATCTATGCACGCATTAATGATGCATTATAAACATGAACTATACATTTTTATAAAAAGGTATAACACATTATAGCCATGTTTATTATGCACTATGACTGCCTTAATGCTTATACCGGCCTTTATAATGCATCATAAAGGAATCTAGTGCATCATAGGTGAGAGCTTTGTAAATCAGTTATAATGCATAATACACATGGTTATAATGTGTTATGCCTTTTTATAAAAATGTATAGCCGTGTTTATAATGCTTTATGAATGACTTGTTATTTATGAATGTGGTTATAAATTACTGAAAACATGAGCTTGAGTTAAGTGTTACCAAACTAGTCTCTTGCCTAATATTGGTGCCGCACCCGCTGTCTCAACAGGACGTGGAGTTGAGGAATGGAGACGTGAATTACAGCCAGTTTGCCCAGCTGTACCGAAGCTTGATGTTCGATGCCCAGAAATCTGTGAGTTTCCCCTCTGAACTCGTGGGGGAGAAATTCAGGGGGGGGTGTGGCCCTGGATCTGAGGGCGAATGGGTGAATCACACCAGGAGATGATTATGCCATTTTAGAATGGATCGTTAAGGAGGTCTGTGGAGTAGATTCATTCAGAGCCTTTGAACATAGTGAGCAGGCGAGTGACCAATGAAACGTGAAGATGGTTCTGCGAGAACCAGAGTGTCTGGGAGTCGCGTGTCAAACTATGCCTGACGGGTCTCCATTCACAATCCGCTCTCCACACTTTGCATGTGCCTGGTGCTTTTGATCATTATCAGTCAAAACACTAATTTAAAAAGCACATTAAAAACTGTGGGTGTATGAAGGATCTCCTCCGTTTCACCTCCTGGGGAGTCACTGGGCAGTCTGGTCTGTCGTTTTGTTTTAATAGACACTTTTATCCAAAGCAGGGTCATCAGGTCTCTGGGGCCCTTGGGGTTGGTTAACTGTGTTGTTCTGGGGCCCAATGGTGACATCACTCCACCAGCATTGGGATTCGAACCTGCAGCTTTCCAATCTCAGTCACAGACTCCTAACCCACCGAGCCACACATCGCCCCCCAGATTCTGGCTTTATCCAGATCAGAAGACCGTTTCATGTGTAACCTCCCCCCCCCCCCACACCACCACCAAGTCGACACCCGGGACACCTGGCTGCTCGTGATGGACCTGAAGCTGCCTAAAGCTTCCCCTTGAAACCCACAGCTCATGTTTAGATAGATGGCACTGGGTGTGCAGTGGCCGCAGTGGCCGCAGTGCTTTGCCACAGGGTTCTCAGGTGGAGGAGGGGGGGTCTGACTTGCTGTTTTAAAGTCAGTTTTCTTGTTATCATTTGTTGTTATTTTATCATCACTATTTCCCAAGCCTCTACTTCCAGCCATGTTGCCTCTGTTTTGGCCAACAGTTATTATTAAATCTTTAGCTTGGACAACATAATGTTTTTGGGTGTCTGACATATATTTTTTTCCCCCTGTTGCAGATGGAAATTCCGTTCTTACAGAGGTATGTCACGTCCACCGCCTGCCCGGCTGCGGTGCCATCTGGGTGCTTTGAACGCTCATGAAGTCACCCGGTACGCTTTGCTTTCAGGTTTGTCGAGAGGTCGGATCAGCTGAAGGTCTCGCTCAGCGATTTCCAGCACTTCCTTTCAGAATGTCAGAAAGTAAGTGGTGCAGGATGGACATGCTTCTCCGATGTTGGCGTTACAACCTTACAGGTTATGGCCAGTAGCGATGCTAATAGGTTAGCCTGGCCCTTTATGACCTTACAGGTTATGGCCAGTAGCGATGCTAATAGGTTAGCCTGGCCCTTTATGACCTTACAGGTTATGGCCAGTAGCGATGCTAATAGGTTAGCCTGACCATTTGGTCCTGCTACAGCTGTTATTCCTGAGCTGGGTGATGGCGGCTTTGTCATTTTGCGTCATGAATAAAGGAAATGTTTTTTTCCATTACCAAATAATGACTAACATTGACTGCTTACAGTAAATCCACAAGACAGTGGTTAAAAAAATACAGGCAGCCTTCCAAGAAGCTGCAGTCATCTTACCATAGAGTTCAGGTCTGAACCTGCACTGAACATAGGTCTGATACCTTCAGGAAACGGGGCCCAAGTTTTACCGAAGCGTTCTTGGAAACTAGTTTCACTGTGTGGCTGTGTGTGTGTTTCTGGTGTGTTTCCAAAGGGAAAAAAATCCAGAATACTTCACGGTTAGGTCCATCGTTACTGAATTTGTGGATGTGGATTCCTTGCTTTGGCCGGTCCTAACTTTGGCTTTTCTGTGTGTACGTATGCAGGAACAGTGGGCCACAAACATTACCCAGGTCCAAGAGTTCATGTCCAGCTACCTGAGAGAACCTCTGAGGGAGATCGAGCAGCCATTTTTCTACCAGGATGAGGTGAGCGCCCCCTGCAGGTGTTGTCATAAATCCCTAAAACACACACAACCCTTTTTTTTTTTTTGTTTAATTGGTTTTCTCTTAATAGGTTTTTTCCGCCTTTGGAGTTAAAGCTGTATTTCATGTTCGGATGTTAGTTACATTTAATAGGTGGTTCACCTGGAGTATTAAGTCTCCAAAAGGGTTTTGGGTTCAGCAGCAGTACCTGCGATGTGGCTGTTCCAGTTGATGTTTTTGTCTGGGGTCACGAGGTCAGTAAATAAGCAGGGAGAGGCTGAAATCCATTCTGTTTACTACCTAAACTGTCGAGTGATGGTGTCTTGCCAGCAGGGGGTGCTCTTGTGATTTTTGCCCTTGCTTAGGTGAGATGTTTAATTTGCTTGGAGTCGCTCTCCTGTTAGCTTCTTGCTATGTTCGTGGAATATTGCGTAGCTCTGGGTCTGATGCTGACTTGCGGATGTTATTGGTCATTCGTGGGAAGCTCCGCCTAGCTGCCGTCATGCCGAGTCGCTTCCTTGGCAGCTGGGATGCTCTCTGTGCCTCCTTTGTATGTCACTGTAATCAAAAGCATCTGCGAAATAAGTAAACGGCAATTTTAAACAGGGGTGATTCTAAGATTTTAATAGTTGGGGTGCGTGAATTATGGGGTCCATAATTCATACTGAGGGATCAACCTTATAATTAAGGTTCAGGGGATGGGGGACTCTGGGGCCAGTTAACATTCAGCTGGTTCCAGTGGCCCTGCCTCTGATTTTACACATACCTAAAAAAAAACTACTGGGGGGGGGGGGGCGGCTCTCATACAGGAAGTCTTCTGTAGTTGAGAGGAAGTGATTGTGGTGGTGAGGTGGTTACATAGAATCACATTCATATCTAGTAAATGTCAGGCAAGTTTCCAGTGGAAGGCCAATGGGTGGTGAATGTGACACCATCTTGAAGAGTCACTCCATCTATTGTTTGTATGTAAAACGGTACAAGTGACGAAGTTCTTTGCAAATATGAAAATGAGACCATCTGCAGTTATAATTAGATGACTTCTAAATCATATACTAGATATTAGTTTTGGAAAAATATCTAAGGGCCCACGTCGATATAAATGCATATATACACACATATATTGTTGTATGAAATCAGGTTTGATGTATGAAACACGAAAGAAAATATTTGATTAGATTATACACACAATGACAGCTGGCGTTTCAACTATGCCATGAGATGGCAGTATGTTAAACATGTTTGTCTGCAAGGGAATATCACACGACGGTCAATGCAGAAATATACACTGATCGTTAAACGCACCAGCGGGTGGAAGGGTGACATCACCGGCGCAGGGTCCTGGCCTGTTTCCTTGCAGTCACGTGATATCAAGTCTAGTAAATAAACATCATTGGTTACGTGCTTCTGGGCATGTGAAAACTTCAGGTGGGGGGGTGGGCAGACTGTGAGGGTGGGCAGAGGGTGGGGGGCGGGCGGACTGTGTTGCACATGCATGACACGGGCTTGTCAAACACGTTTCACTTAAAACCAGTGGGATGGAAAATAGAAATGCACCCCTCAGAGGAGTATCTTGTAGTATTATGTAAAGTTAATATTTATGGCACTATTTAAAAAAAAATAAAAATAAAAAAATAAAACACATTCCATCAGAATAGGATCCTTTTGGTCCATGTCAGTGTTGGAAAGTTTCTGAAAAGCCTGCATGGTCGTGGTCCTCTTGGTTCGTGCCTTTGTGATGCGATTACAGCCCTATTCTGTTCCATGGCAGAATAGCTGTGCCCTTGTCACCCTGTGAACTTTTTAAAGTCAGAAGCTCCACTTTCTCAGCTGCTCTGCAGGCCTCGGCTGACCTGCTTTAGTAACAGTCAGACTGAGACCGAAAGCCGCTTTTAAAGCCAGAAACTCCACTTTCCCAGCTGCTCTGCAGGCCTCGGCAGACCTGCTTTAGTAACAGTCAGACTGAGACCGAAAGCCGCTTTTAAAGCCAGAAACTCCACTTTCTCAGCTGCTCTGCAGGCCTCGGCAGACCTGCTTTAGTAACAGTCAGACTGAGACCGAAAGCCGCTTTTAAAGCCAGAAACTCCACTTTCTCAGCTGCTCTGCAGGCCTCGGCAGACCTGCTTTAGTAACAGTCAGACTGAGACCGAAAGCCGCAGATCGGCCGACATGCGACTTCCAGTGAGATCCGGCCTGTCTAAACAATCCCAGTAGCGCCTTGGGGTCTTTCGTGTTCGCACACGCAGATCTTTGCTGGGAAATATGTAACCCTACACATGCACGTACGAGATAAACGGCAGAACAAAGGAAACCACCTTTTGCATTTTGCTGTGATTAAAGGTGCAAGTACCAGATTGTTTAAATGACTTTTTTTATTGTCTGAATGTATTGTGTTTCTGTAAACCTGCATTTTCCTGTGGGGATTAATAAAGTGTTTGTCCCGTCCCTCCCTCTCTGTCTGTCTGTCAGCCAAAGCCGTAGGTGTTTGTCTTCAGCATTTTCTTCATGAGTGTGGTCTACTGGAAACCACACAGTCAGTCCCCTTAAAACCTTTGGCCACCATATAGAGCCATACATATGGAAGTGATGCTCTCTTCTGTTGCTGGAACAGCTTGTGAAGGAGGTGTAACACATTCCTCCTCTGTTCACAGTTTCTCACCTACCTGTTCTCCAAAGAGAACACCATCTGGGACTCCAAGCTGGACCAGGTGGTCCCTGAGAACATGAACAACCCCCTGTCCCACTACTGGATTTCCTCATCTCACAACACGTAAGGGAGGGGGGCCTGGGGGTGGGGGGGGGGGGTGGTCGTGGGTGGTCTCAATGACCTCCTGCAGGAACTTGGGCAATTTGATTCGATTCAGGTCTCAGGTTTACTGAGACTGCAGATTTTCAGGACGCTTCAGAAGATCGTAATTGGAGTTGCAGGAGCTTTATTAATCTGTACTGTGGGATTTATGATGTAACTGACTGTGCAGAATGGTCTCGTCCTCTGTCTTGGTGTCCCAAGGCCTTGTTTTATGGACAGGTTTTCCCGTTTGGTTTCTAGCTACCTGACGGGTGACCAGTTCTCCAGCGAATCATCATTGGAGGCGTACGCTCGCTGTTTGAGGATGGGCTGTCGATGCATCGAGCGTATGTGGTCTCTCGCCACAAATTAGCACCCACTGATATAGAGCCGCAAAACAGGCGCTAGAATCTATACACTACAGTAGATACTTTCTTTTATTTCTTTTTGTAAATGGTTTGTAAGCCGCAGTATCATCTAGCTGCCTGACGGTTCACGTTTTTGCTGTCTGGGAGGGAGCATAAACAAGGGGGTTCCTGAGGACCGGATTGGCCAACACTGGTCTACAGGCTTAGCTTAGCTTAGCTTACAAAGTTCTGATTACTCTCGGTGACGTGTCCTTGTCCTGGGTCTTGTGTCTCCGTGACAGTGGACTGCTGGGACGGCCCAGATGGAATGCCAGTCATCTACCACGGGCACACGCTCACCACCAAGATCAAATTCTGTGATGTCTTGAATACCATCAAGGAGCATGCCTTTGTCTCGTCTGAGTGAGTCTGAGTCACACGCACGTGCCTGTGGACATGCTGTGTTCTGTATAGTCTCCGTCAGCCTCTCCCATCACGCTTCTTCTGGCTATGCCAGACGGTGATGCATACTAAGCATTGCTTACGTTAGCTGCTGTCGAAAAAACTGACTGCTATTTATAGTATCCAGACTAGCATTGATGGTGTAGTTAGAATCCAAAGTTCAATTGTATAAAATCAACGTAACAGACAAATTTCATGTTTTCTCCCTCAATCGAACAAGTTCTGAAAACCAGGAAAGTATAGGAGGAATCTAGTGTATGTTTAAGATAAGGGTACTTCACACATATTACCGGTTTTGTAAGACCTTCTCTGCAACTTTTTTTTTTTGTCATCAGCTACCCAATCATCCTCTCCATTGAGGACCACTGCAGTATCGTTCAGCAGAGGATCATGGCTACCTTCTTCAAGAAGATCTTCGGGGATATGCTGCTGACGAAGGCGGTGGATATCTCTGCCGACGGCCTCCCGTCGCCCAACCAACTCAAGAGGAAGATCCTAATAAAGGCAGGTTTCTCAGCTCTGGGTGCTGGAGTCATAGCCGAGGACCGTACTTTTGACGGATGTACCCCATGCTTCACTGGGCTACCCTGTGACATGGTAGCCATAGTGGTGTTCTGCTTTGTCTTTCGCTTTGAATAGTTGTCTTATTAGGTTCTTGCTTGACAGGTGGCGTATACCTCTTGCTTCAGTACTACTTTCACTTGTACCAGCCTCACTACATTTATGCTAAATAAATGTAAATGTAGGAGACCCAGGACGGGTTTCAAAACGCAGGATTTCTTCATTAGCCAGATAACTTAAGCCAAATGTACGGATTGTCCATAGGAATATCACTTCTCTCCTCCGATTTGACCGTTCTCACATTTGGCTTAAGTTATCCAGCTAACTGGGAAATCTTGCTTTGCGGAATAGCCAGGGTGCGATAGGGAAGGCCGCTAAGCTGTGTTCTTGGCATTTCCGGTCCTACTTCGTGTCATTGTCATCACACAGCACAAGAAGCTGGCAGAGGGCAGCGCCTATGAGGAAGTGTCGACCTCCACGCCGTATTCAGAGAACGACATCAGCAACTCCATCAAGAATGGAATCCTGTACCTGGAGGATCCCATTAACCACGTAAGACTGATTTATCACTAGTGTCATGTGCAGCCAAGGATTTAGGACTTAACATTCATTTTATATTGGTGACAAGGCTGGTCTGTAAAGTCACATCTAAATTAGACACTGTGTATGACAGACATTACAGATATCTATGTGACTATGGATTTAACACTTATGAACTTGTTCTGGTGTGTCTATATACGCAATCTTGCTCTAGTGCTTCATTTTAACACATGACTAATGTAGTTATTTGACTTCATCTGCCTGGTTGGAACCGTGCAAGTTTTGCTCCATAGTAAATGCTGGGTGTTTGTGACTGATGTTGCTTTTCCCGCTGCCACAGGAGTGGTACCCTCATTTCTTCGTCCTTACAAGCAGCAAAATCTACTACTCGGAGGAGACCTCAAGTACTCAGGGCAATGAGGATGAGGAGGAGCACAGAGAGGTGAGGAAGCCATCAAGAAACGCTGCTTTCCCTCAAGAGGTGTTATTTTTGTGCCGGAGGTTGCCGTGGGTACCTGAAAATATTTTCCCCTCCCATTGGAATATTCAGTCCCCCCCCACCCCCCCCAATGCCAGGCTGACTTGCTGTATTTTGTGTGAGATGTCATTGACCTACTTCTTGTAACCATGATGTCTGGGCGCTCTGTTGCTTTATACTGCAAATCCAGAGGAGGGTACCGTTTACTTTTTCCGCCCGAAGTTCTATAACTGCTGTTCAGTGCTGCATTTTAAATCTGCAGCTTGTGGTGCAGTTAGTTGTTTCAACATGATTCGGGTCAGTGGGCACATGTGATGTCATGGCTCTCACACAGCCTCTGTCGTCCCCTCGGCCGCTCAACCACAGGTGTCCAACGGCATGGACCAGCACGTGACTGAGAAGTGGTTCCACGGGAAGCTGGGTGCTGGGCGGGATGGCCGGCAGATCGCGGAGAGGCTGCTGTCAGAGTACTGCCTGGAGACGGGCGCTCCAGACGGCTCCTTCCTGGTGCGCGAGAGTGAGACCTTCGTTGGAGATTACACCCTGTCTTTCTGGTAAAGTCCTCCAGGTTATTTGTTTTTGAAGCCCCAGCCACAGTGCTCTTCCGGAAAGAAATTCAGTGCCTCGTGGTGGGACGCATCTAGTTTGGGCTTGTGTTGGTTTCATGTTGCGTTGGAAACTGTGGTCAGTTTCAGCCACATGTGCATAGTTTTCTTTATGTTCTCCCCCTGCTCTTTGAAACCACAGGCCAGTCACATCAGGTATTTTTGTATACAATACAAAACATATATAATTTTACTTTCATGCATTAGACTCTACAAAAGGGGTGTCAAACTGCAGTCCTGGGGGGCCGGAGCCCTGCGCATTTTTGGTTTCCCCCCATTTAACACACCTGATTCAACTTGTGCTAATTACCACATAGCTGTTGAGCTGAATAATTTGTGGTGGAACAGGGAAAGAACTAAGCTGCACAGGGCTCCGGCCACCCAGGACTGGAGTTTGGCACCCCTACTCTACAATGACTCACCTTATAGCAGTATAGTAAGGGACTGGAACCATCTAGGTACATTTTACATTCACAGAACACTCATTCATTCATTGTACAACCAACTGTGCAATACTATATTACTATTTATTTACTATGGAGTTCAGTGCAGTACTTTCTCTGACATTCTTTGTGTTGTTATTCATCATTGTTATTTGTCCTCACAGTCCATAATGTCATGTTTGTTTACTGTGTGTACTATATGTGTTTTGTGCTATGCTAACCTTGTGTTTTAGTTATTTCCTTGTCACTGTTAATCTATTTTATATATCTTATCTAATCTATCTTATCTCTATCTAACTGATACAAATCTAGTAGCTGTGGCCCTATCCATGGTGTTATGGCTTCTAAATCAGTGCTGTTTCTCTCAGGCCATGCATATGGCCATGTTGCATTTGACCCAGAAGGTCTGCTCTCTTCATAGGCGCTCTGGTCGGGTGCAGCACTGCCGCATCCACTCCCGCCAGGAGGCCGGCAGCCCCAAGTTCTACCTGACGGACAACCTGGTCTTCGACAACCTGTTTGCCCTCATCACACACTACCAGCAGGTGGCGCTGCGCTGCAACGAGTTTGAGATGAAGCTGACTGAGCCTGTACCTCAGACCAACGCGCATGAGAGCAAGGAGTGGGTCCACCCCCCCCCCCCCCCCCCGTTTATCTCTCCTCTGCTTTGTGTTGGCAGGCACCAGCTGCCTCTTATGTCGTAGCTATTGATTTGGAGCACATGCAGATGTCACCATGTCCCTTTCTGGCCTTGACAGGTGGTACCACGCGAACTTGTCGAGGGGCCAAGCAGAAAACATGCTGATGAGGGTTCCTCGGGATGGAGCCTTCCTCGTGAGGAAGAGGACAGAGTCCAACTCCTTCGCCATCTCCTTCAGGTGATTCTTCCAGATGCCCCCCCCCCCCCCCCCATCCTGCTAATTTTACTGGAAGTTCTTCTTCCTGAGGTTGATTGGGTGGGCACTTGACCTTGTGGTGCTGAGAATAGAAGCAAGGAGATCCTGTGCTCCTCACGCTTCCTTCGATTCTGAAAGGGAACGCTTCGTAAACCATGCCTAACTTTCCATCTGCATTGAGGGCGTGGGCCGTGGGTGGTCACATGTCCTGGCCAGTCGGCTTATCGTCCCTCTTCCACCAGGGCGGAGGGGAAGATTAAGCACTGCCGGGTGCAGCAGGAGGGCCAGACAGTGGTGCTGGGCACCTCGGAGTTCGACAGCCTGGTGGATCTCATCAGCTACTACGAAAAACACCCCCTCTACCGGAAGATGAAGCTGCGATACCCCATCAATGAGGAGACCCTGGAGAAGATTGGCACCGCGGTGAGCTTTGTACTTCTATGTGGAGCTTTGAACTTCAAACGGATATATAAAATGTATATTCATTTATATGTGCAACCCTCCCCAGGAGCCTGATTATGGATCCCTTTATGAGGGACGCAACCCTGGGTTCTATGTGGAAGCCAATCAAATGCCAACTTTCAAGGTACATCTTCCTAGTAGAGACCACAGTGGGTATAGTCAGTGTCTCCTACAGCTATGTATGAATGAGACATGGTACATTACAAGCATACAGCTGCGACTTGGGTAACTTGCTAGATGCAATTTCCAGGTTCCCGAGGCAACATAGTCATGGGAACCAGTGCTATAGGAAATACGGTTAGCTACACAAAATACCACCTGACCCCTGTAACGGCCATCCGTCTCCTCTCAGTGCACCGTGAAGGCTCTGTATGAATACAAGGCCCAGCGGGACGACGAGCTGTCTTTCAGCAAGAACGCCGTCATCCAGAATGTGGAGAAACAGGAGGGAGGCTGGTGAGTGGGAGGTCCTGGAAACTTTGCTTGCAGGGTTGATGACTGCAGCTGATTGCAGCCATGCGATCTTGTGCCGTAATCTTGGGATTTGATGCTGGTGTAGGGCACTGGATAGCTTTAGTTGCTGGCTTTGGGGGAGGATGCGGACTGGAAAGGAGAATGAGTACCCACTGTTGGTTTCAAAGTCTGGCTTTTCCCACCACTGCCTTAAACCAGAGGTCAACTCTTCATGAAGTATAAAAGATATCAGAGAAGCATGGTCTACATTTGTCGGACTTGAGTGTACTCTTGGTTTGGCCATTTGCCGGATGAACTCTTTGCCTGCCAGGTGGAAGGGTGATTGCGGCGGGAAGAAGCAGTTCTGGTTCCCTGCAAATTACGTGGAGGAGATCAGCCCTGCTACAGTAGAGCCGGACCGATTGGTAGGTGTGCTCCCCGCTGGCTGGCCTGCTCCTCGATTTTCCACTGTAGCAAAATCTCTCCTATGGGAACTCTTCAGGGCCTGCGGGGCAGCACCATGTGACCAAGGGGGTTCTTTTGATTGGCTGCTGACCAGCTCCTTGCTTTGCCTTTTCAAACACAGGCAGCCACAGAGAACAGCCCTCTGGGGGATCTGCTGAGGGGTAGTGTGGATGTGTCGTCCTGTCAGATCGGTGAGTTGTCCCCTTGCTTTTGGACATGGGCAGTTTCCCAGTGGCTCTACTGATGAAATTAATTCTAAGAAGAATGTTTCTAAGGTGTAGATGTTGGATCACTATAGTCGTTTTTTTTTTTTTGATTTGCAAGTTATATTTTAGCAATGCAATAGAAAAATCGTCTGGTTCCGATGCCCTTCAGCCCTGTTGACTTAAGCGGGGTTGGCAGAGTTTTCCCTGAAATGTCCTCCTCTGATCCCTGTGCCTTTGTGTCCTCCACCAGTTGTGAGACAAGAAGGCAAAGGCAGCAGGCCCCACGTCTTCTCCCTGCTCATGGGCTCTGGTCAGCGGCCCGGTAACTTCCTGGACATTGCCGCCAACAGTCAGGATGAACTCAAGGAGTGGGTCACGAAGATCCGGGAGGTTGCCATGACTTCGGAGGCCAAGGTCTGCAGCTGTTTCTGTCCATTGCTGGGTTATTGTCATTTCATTTCATGTCATCCCATCTATTAAGATGCTCTGAGGGTCTCTGGTTAATGTTTTTTTTTCTTGGCAGCTGGAAGAGGGTAAAATAATGGAAAGGAGGAAGAGGATAGCCCTGGAACTGTCTGAGCTTGTTATCTACTGTCGGCCAGTGCCGTTTGATGAAGACAGTAAGGCCAGTTTTTTCACCCCCTTATATCCCAATAGAGTCAACTTTGTGTTTGACAAAGACCAGTGTTATCTAGGAGACCCAGCACTGACTGAAATACACCCTCAAGACTCTCATTCTGTCCCTGACAGAGATCGGGACGGAACGGGCCTGTTATCGGGACATGTCGTCCTTCCCCGAGACCAAAGCAGAGAAATACGTCAACAGGATCAAGGGCAAGAAGTTCCTGCAGTACAACCGACTGCAGCTGTCCCGCATCTACCCCAAGGGCCAACGCCTGGACTCCTCCAACTACGACCCTTTACCCATGTGGCTGTGTGGCAGCCAGCTGGTGGCGCTGAACTTCCAGACTGCAGGTGGGCAGATCCGGACAAGCCGGAGACGTATACCTTGAAACTCCTGTTACCCTGTATGTAGGAGGTGTATGGGGAGCCTTGTATCCAATGATGAAACCTTGAAAGTGGCTCCTTGTTGGTTCGTCTTTAGACAAACCCATGCAGATGAACCAGGCTCTCTTCATGCTAAATGGGCGGAGTGGTTACGTGCTACAACCGTCCATCATGAGGGATGACAACTTTGACCCGTTTGACCGGAACTCTCTGCGAGGAGTGGAGCCCATCACCCTAAATATAGAGGTACACCTCACAGCTTCCTATTACTGCCGTTACCCATCCTTTCGAGACAACATGCAAGTTCATGTCATGGACATGATGATCTTTCTTGAAGTAAGTAATGGATCACAGATCAGATTGTGATGTTTGTCACCTACTCTCGCTTCCATTCAGGTGTTGGGGGCACGGCACCTGCCCAAGCATGGGCGAGGCATCGTGTGCCCATTGATCGAGATCGAAGTCTGTGGGGCTGAGTACGACAATGCCAAGCAGAAGACTGACTCTGAAGGTGGGGGAAGCCTGGAACTCTCGTGATAAAGGGATGGAATTTTGCAGAATGTTCGATTTCGCAGAAATCTGTCAGATGGCTAATCCCATGAAAGTAAAACCTACTGCTTCTCCCTACCCCTTCCACCTGCTCCAGCGGATAACGGCCTCAACCCCACGTGGCCACGGAAACCATTCCGATTCACCATCTGCAACCCCGAGTTTGCATTCCTGCGATTCGTGGTGTACGAGATCGACATGTTCAATGACCAAAATTTCCTCGCCCAGGCTACCTTCCCAGTCATCGGCCTTAAAAAGGGTATTGGCCGCCTTTTTCCCAGTTTTAAGTTTTAACCCAAAACACAATTTGCTCAGGTTTTTTTTTTAAGGATATTTTGTCATTTTGCATGTAGAAGGTCTGTACTTTGTAAAGCTTGTTTTGCATGTTGAATCATTCAGGCTCAACACCAGTATGGTGTTTCTACAACTGAGAACCATGTCAAACTAACTGCTTGTAAGCCAGCAGTGGTGAGGGGCTGTCATATGCTGTAAATGAGGAGGATGGGAGCAAGACCCATGCAGGCTCACACTCAACTGGTCCACTTGTTTGTAGTTCTTTGTGAATTGATGCCCCTTTTCCCTTGCAATCCAGTTGAACCACACATCCTGCCTACTAGATGGGTCAGGACTTGCAGCTAGTTTTAAGACGTGTATGTACTAGGACTGCCAGTATCAATTATATGAATAATCGAGTAATCTACTGAATTTAATCTGCTGATTCATTGAGTGATCTTTTATAATTGTAATTGGCTCACATTCAGTAACACATATGGTCGATTTAGGCCAGCAGTCTTCACGAGAACTACCTAGCGGTCCTAGAAAGCTACTATCCAGTAGGTTTTCTGTTCTATCTGGCTTCTGTTGAGCCACACCTCCTCCAGGTATTTACCTGAGAACAGGTGTGACTCAGCGGCCAGGTAGGATAGAAAACCTACTGGACAGTAGCTCAAGACTGGAGTTGAGACCCCTGATTTAGGCACTCCAATTCGCAGCCTGATAAATATCGCCATGTACAGTGTAGCCAAAAATTTGTACACTGTGGGGAAAAATGGTCAAAAATGTAAATGATTTAAAAACTTTAAAAAGTGTCATGTTACAATTATTTGTGTTATATAAAAAAAACAAGAAAAACATTCTGGAATTTTCAAATGATGTAATTTCATCATAAAAAATATTTTTTTTCAGTGTACAGAATTTTTGGCTACACTGTACATGCAATTGTCACATCGCAAAGATTGTGATAGTCTGCTGGGTTCAAGGCATCAACCATAGAAAACCAAACCTGAGCTTTGCAATTTTAATGATGGTTCCTTTTCAAGTTTTTCTAATTATGTTTAGGAAAAAAAATTACTTTAAAATTTGAAATTTAGCTTTAAAATTTACCGCCACTGCTTTTGCATGAACTCTGCATGCACCGAGACAATGATAATCCCCTTGTTCTTGCTGCTGGACTCGCTCAGATCTTGTGGCGCATAAGCAAAAATGATTAGAGTGGAAAAGCAAACAAGAACTGGCCACAAAGATATGTCTTCCGCTGTGTATGTATATATTTGTATTCTGCAGAGATATTGAGTGATTTGTCGGCTCTGCTTTGTGTCTGGTGGCACCAATCAAAGCTCCACTAACTTATTTGACACTCCGGTAGTAGATAAGGTTTCTGTCTATATAGCAATTTTCAATTCCTAAATATTGTGAAATCTTCAAATATCGCGATGTGACCTTTTTTCTCCAGTATCATTCAGCCCAAACACACACGTTGCATTCACAAAAAAAATGTATTGGCTGTATGTCGTATTATGTGGCTAAGCAACAGGGCTAACCTTAGTTTTCAGCAGTTTGTTTTGACATACAGGAATCATGGAAAGTAAATTAGTAAAATAAAACCAAAGGCCTAGGCTATTCGGAGGCTAAGTAGCCATAGATACATGCCAACCTCGCATTATTGAGTGAGTCAATCAAACCTGAATTTCTTCCTTTTAAGATGTATTTGCATTGCAGTCGTACTGTGGTGTCATTTAAGTTCCGCCTTGCAATACTGACAGGCTGCATTTTCATGTGAAGTGCTTCCACACAGTTCAAGCTTTTTTTTTTTTTTTTTTTATTGGGACCTACATATTGCCAAGTAATCGATTTAGCAAAGTTTTAATTGGTGCTTTTTAATAATCGAGTAATCGAGTTTAATCACATAATCATGATGGTTCTAGTGTGCACCTTTAGGGAGCTTGCCGTGTATGTGTGAGGGGTGGTTTAAGCAGTGCATTCTGGGTTTGTCCTTGCAGGGTACAGGTCCGTCCCACTGAAGAACAGCTACAGCGAGGACCTGGAACTGGCTTCCCTTCTGGTGCACATGGACATCATCAAAGGCAGAGTAAGGAACTTTACTCGAGCTGCTGTGGGGGTGCAGGGAGCGGAGCAGGATGGATCCCTACCAGCCACGTCTCTCCCTCTATCCTCTCCTGAGCAGCAAGAGAACACTGAGATGACCGGTGTCCCCCTTGGGGCCACAGCGGCAGTCTCGGGCCACATGGGCAGGGACAGACTGGCAGATGTGGCCTCCCTCTCCCCGCTGGCTGCCCCCCCAGGCCAGGCCCTGGCCTACCGGGGGCGCGACGGCTCCTTCGAGGCCCGTTACCAAACACCCCTGGATGAATTCCGGGTGTCCCAGGAGCCTCTGTTGGACCACATTGACGCTCAGAACAGACGGTATGCCGGCTTCCCCGTCAATCTTCGCACATTAATAATCATCCACTGGCAAATTCACTATTAACTGCCGGGAATGTTCTGCTAATGGGTTTAGCCCCCATCGACCTGAACTCGGAGGTTTCTAGAATAAGCAGCCTTGTGTAATGTCACCATTGACCAGATTCTGTGCTGTTCCGTAGCGTTTTCAGCCATCTGTTCTCAGATGACATGCATATAATAAGAGAAGATATATTGTATTGATCCCAGGGGGATCCCAGGTGTTTTGGAAGTAAATGTATTAGCAGGTCTTGAATATTTTGGTGCTTTTTTTTTGTCCCCTTTCAGACTGAACCGCAGGACCAAAGTTGGTGGAGAGAACAGGGTGTAGGCTGAGAAGCAGTGGACCACTGGAACTTTGGTCGCTGATGGCGGTGGTCTTGTAGAGAAATGTTGATGTTGTGCTGGCTGCCAATCTTTGAACCAGCCCCCCCCCCCCCCCCCCCCCCC